ATGTGGACAACATCCGGATACAGGTCGCATGTTAATGCCAAGTGTAAACGCAGCCATGGATTATTTTACAGATCTCCTTGCTACGTTTCTGGACTTGGGAACATTTCAGTTGCGTTGCTGTCTATGCAGGGTCAGACAGCTCTCATATTCCATCAAAAATATCTTAATTTGTGTTCCGAAGATGAACGAAGGTCTTACGGGTTTGAAACGACATGAGGGTGAGTAATTAATGACAGAATTTTCATTTTTGGGTGAACTAACCCTTTAACAGGTTTTTGCTCCTGAATGAATCAGTGTTTTGAACGAATCGGTAACATTAATGATTCAGTGACTCTCATAAACATGGGCAGCATCCAAAATCGCATACTTCCCAAGTAGGCGAAAATCTTTTTGTGACAAAAGAATTATGTCCGAATTCACAGTATTCATAAAAGATTAGTCAAAACGTACCCAGATGAAAAAAAAAAAGTTTGCAACTGGCTTTTATCACTCAATTAAATCGTGTGATTTGTAGGGACTACTGAACAGAAAGTTTGAAGCTTATCTTAAAGTGTAAAGTAATACATGTACAGACTGCGTAAATAAAGCTCTGTAAAAACATTACTTGCATTTTAACAACACGTTGTAAGTGTTTCCCATCGGATAACCAAAAGTTCTACACAGACTTGCTGTCTTCACACCTACTTGAACACTTGGGCCATATAGGAAGTACGTCGTGTAAGTAAACAAGTGGTCAAGTGCAAAGACCGCAGCTATGGGTGTTGGGACAGGTCAGGCTGCGTTCCAATTTTTGACTCGGATGTATATCAATGATAATGTTGCACAAGTGCCCACTACTGGTGGAACCCTTGCAAGGGACTGAAGTGGAACGTCCTAAGCCCTTGATCACTTGGAATCCGCTATGGAGTTTATTTATTTATTGCCTTACGAATCTGTTTGATGCAGCATTTTGTATGTGTATAGGTATGCTGGAGCTGTTTTAAATATAAAAAAATAATTCATATATCGCTGTTTTGGGTGGGAGTATATTCAATGCGATCTGTGGCGACTTCACAACCATGCTATATTGTGGCATATGGAGATGCCTGAAGTGTACATATGAAGTCGACTCGCTCTCTCGGTCGAAATTCAGGGCCTGAGGATCTGTCCATATAAACTTGCCCCATCCACTTAACCAAGTGGAACACACTTCAAAATGGCAGTGGGGATTCCCCTGTTGGGAAGTGCATAGGGAAGTTTGCGAGTATGCGTCTAAAAGCAAAGTGGAACACAGCCCGGATTACATTCATACTAGACACATTCACAGTAGAACATGCTTTTTAAACAGTCTCTGAGTAATTACTTCGTCGAAAGAAGTACCTCCACAGAGAGTACGCAATTTCAGCCACACTTCTTTTGTTTGTGAATGAATCTGTTTTCTCATTCTCTTTTACTGGAACAGACTGTGGATAACATCAATGCTTCCGAGTATATGATTGAAAAGGAGTCACTGTTGGGTTACCATTATCAAGCCAGAGTGAGGGCGCGAGGTCCTCTAGGACTCTGGAGTGACTGGAGCCCCCTGGTGTCCTGGAAGACTCACAATGGTATTATTTTTTGTTTATATTTTGCTAATAGTCTATAATAGAAAATAATTTCCTTTTTATACTGCAAACACCTGTTTTAATAAAGTTCATGACCTCTCGCAGATGGAGCCTTTAACCTGCAGTGTGTGATAATGGGAGCAACAACTGTGACGTGTACCTGGCAAATGAAGACAGAACATTATCAGTTTATGTCTTATCATCTCTGGTGCAGTAATAATGATAACACTGAGTGAGTTCTCCATCCATCACAAACTCATGTGACTATCAACTGATCTAATGTCACATCCTGTACACTGAGAACTCTTTCTCTCCCTCAGACCCTCAGCTTGTTGCGAAGATCCTCAGCTTCAGTCGAGCGACGTTGAGCTTTCTGAGTTTGTGTGTTCTGTAAATACCCCTGACCCTTACCTGTTAACAGTGGAGCTGAGACCAGTGTACTACACTAGGACGTTCAGTACTTCAAAACACAGTGAGTTTCTTTGAAATGTTATTTAGTGGAGTCTTGCGTGCCAGCGCTGCCAGCTGAGTTTAGGAGGAACACTGATGTTCATTCGTCTTCTCTTCCAAGTTCAACTTTCACAACCTGGCCAGATCCATGTGAAGGAAGTAGATGGTGTTTTCATACTGAACTGGACTGAACCAGCTGTTTCCGAAGATATTGAATACTCCATCCAGCTAAAAATCTCACCCAACAAGGTGCGTTAGTTATCTTTCAGCATCTGTGTTGCATTTACTAAATGATTCATTGTAGCTGTGACCAGGGGCGCATTAATGCACGGGCTACAAGGGGCTGAAGCCCAGGGGCCTACACTGGAAAGGGGGCCCACTGGCTGCAGGGAAATGATATTTTTTGAATAATTATTTATATGGGAGTTTGCAGCAGTGACAACAGCGTTCTGTAAACAAACTCACACACTCACTTTTAGCAATGCCCTGGTTGTAGTAGCCTATATAGTGAATGGCTCAGTTTAGGTTCCCCC